TGATGATGATGACGATGGTGATGATGATGGTGGTGATAATGAGGAAGATGATGATGATGACGATGGTGATGATGATGGTGGTGATAATGAGGAAGATGATGATGATGACGATGGTGATGATGATGGTGGTGATAATGAGGAAGATGATGATGATGACGATGGTGATGATGATGGTGGTGATGAAGATGGTGGTGATGACGATGGTGATGCTGATGATGAAGACGATGGTGATGAAATTGGCGATGATGACGACAATGATGATGATGACGACGACGAAGAACTATTTCTAATATATTTGTACTTATTGGTGGTTGAGTTTGTAATGAAAGAAGTTGAAGAAATAAATTCAAACTTTCCTCATAATTGAATAAATAATGAAATAATTAATTAATTAACCCGAAGAATAACAATAAATAATAATTAAACACAAGAAAATAATATTGAAATGGAGGAATGAAATGTTAACTCGATCCTGTGATGGATTCCTGCTTTTTCGTAGCAGCAGCCGTTGCATTCGGCTTTTCATCATTTGCTAATTTGATTGGTCGATGGATGGATGGATTGGATAATGGATGGATTGATTGACTAATTAGTTAATTAATTATCTGATTTTTTGATTGATTAGCTATACAATTGGTTGATTGATTAACCAATTGATTGACTAACTGATTGATATCCAATCATTTAGTCAATTCATTAGCCGACTGATTGTTTGCTAGATTGACTGATTGTTTGCTAGATTGACTGATTGTTTGCTTGATTGATTGATTGATTGATTGATTGATTGATTGTTTGATTGATTGATTGATTGATTGATTGATTGATTGATTGATTGATTGATTGATTGATTGATTGATTGATTGATTGATTGATTGATTGATTGATTGATTGATTGATTGATTGATTGATTGATTGATTGATTGATTGATTGATTGATTGATTGATTGATTGATTGATTGATTGATTGATTGATTGATTGATTGATTGATTGATTGATTGATTGATTGATTGATTGATTGATTGATTGATTGATTGATTGATTGATTGATTGATTGATTGTATTTGCAAAGCGTTTGTAAAGTATGTGAAAAGTACACACATTACAACATTTGTGACAAAATCTGAAATATGAACTTTTTTCTTTGGTCTCCTCTGTAATTTGACGTTTTCTTCTTTTTCGATTCAGTGGCTTCAATGTGACGCTTTGAGGTGCTTTTGAAACCTCAGAATTTTGCGGTGAATTTTTTGTAAAAAAAATTTGGGAGATGGTTGTTGTTGTTATTGGGGAAAACATGGTGGAGTGAAATGTTGGTGAAGTAGGGAATGGGGAAAACGCTGTGACTTCAGGAGGTAAAGATGGTGATGGTGGTGGTGATTGTGGTTGGAATAAAAATGGTTGTGTAGTTGTGGTAGACAATTGAGGCAAAGGCTGTGGGCTGTCCATGTTGTTGATGTTGTTGTTGTTGATGTTGTTGTTAATGTTGTCGTTGATGTTGTTGATGTTGTTGTTAATGTTGTTGCTGATGTTGTTGTTGATTTTGTTGTTATTATTGTTGTAGTTGTCGTTTTTATAAATGTTGTTGTTGTCTGTATTAATGTTGTTGTTGTTGATGTTGATGTTGTTGTAATTGCTGTTTTTGTTGATGTTGTTGTTGTTGTTGTAATAGTCGTAGTAGTAATTGTTGCTTACCGTTTTAATGTTGTATTTGTTGTTGTAATTGTTGTTGTCTCTTCTCACTCCATCAACATTCGTTTCTATGCTATAAGTAGTTTCACAGTCATTATCGTTATCAATATTCTTCCGATATCTATCCTCATCCTTATTATTATTGTTATTATTGTTATTATTATTATTATTATTATTATTATTATTATTAATACTAGCAACCAAGTCCCGCTTCTGTCTGTCGATTTTTCCGCCAGGATCATAAAAATCGCTGCTATGCAAATGATTAATAAGATGACGATGACGGTTATGGTTATTATTATTATTGTTCCTATTTTTTAAAATTGTTTTATTTAGCGCAGGCTTTTTACTACCGTAGTTCCGGTCGTATTCGAGGGCGGCGCGCAGCGTGACGTCATCCTCTGAAACCCCGTCTACATCTTTCGACAATTTCCGCTCATTACTTTCAAGCACATCGTGAATGACGTCATTTCTCTGGAATAAGTTTTTCCTCACTTCCATCGTTCTCTTCCTCCTTCTCTTCCTCCTCCTCATCACCTCATCGTTCACCATTCCTCCGTAATCGTCATCGTCGTAGTAAGCGTCATTTGAGTCGACCGTGACGTCATCGTCGAGGTTATCGTTGTTGTTGTTGCTGTTCGTGGCGTTGCGTGAGCTGTTTCGTTGTAGTTGTTGTTTTTGATGGTTTTTTGTAGTTTGGGTGTGGAAGAGTACTAAGGCGATCAGGCTTAAGGCTGCACGTAGTGGGTAAGATGGCGATGATGATGAGGATGGTGGTGATGTTGTCGAAAGTGAAGATGATGATGATTATGGTGACGGAGATGATGAAGATGATGATAATGATGATGAGGAGGATAAATATGATGATGATTAATGATGATTATGATAATGACGATAAGCATGATAGGAAGCTGAAATAGTTTTCAATGAAAATTTTCACAAATTCGTATTGAAATTTTGTTCAGTTTTGTTTTAACACTATAAAAATTCTCTCTGGAAAGACTTTAAGACTAAGCCCCCTCTGTTCTGGGCTATATTTTTTATATTTTGTATTATTTTTTCTAAATTTAAGAAAATTAAGAATTTGAAATAAACAAACAAAGACCTAAGAATGCCTGAAGGACTGCCCATAAGATTGTCAAGTAGTTTTTAGCTTTAGCCGGCAGTTCGAGTTTCATATCTGGCTGTTATATCTTTGTTGTTATTGTTTTGTATCTTTGTTGATGGGTTTGATGTCTTTGTTGTTGGATGTTATATCTTTGTTGCTAGATGTTACATCAATTTTGTTGTTGTTGTTGCCGTTGTTGTTGTCGTTCGTTTGAAATGGTGTTGATGTTGTTGTTGTATTCGTTGTTGATGTCTTTTCAGTTGTTTTTTTTAACTACTAAATGAACGACTGAATTATTAAATAAATGAATGAAAAACTGATAAATATTCACCCGTTTATAAAGTCCACAAATAAACTCTCAATCATTAAAAAAAATTTTTTTTGCAAATATTCCATAGGAGTTCAGTCCCATTTATAAAAACTAAAAAATGCTACACAATCTTTGTGATATATATATATATGCGTAATCCGTGAAAGATTTAGGCGGGATCTGGCCGGGATAAACATGGAAACACAATTTTGAACAGAATAGTTGACACAAAATTGCACAATAAGCCAAAAAATATCACCAAGTTATTCAAGTTTTAGGTCTCGTCAGACTTTGCAAACCACCATTAGGAATGGCTAGGTGCTCCAAAAGGCATAATGCTACATACAAAAATATGTAATACTACATATCATATATATATATATATATATATATAATTATTTATATACAATTATTTCTAAATAATTATATTTGTAATATTAAATTTTATAGTTTCCTGGTAGCGATGAGATGCTTAAAAGTTAAACATAGGTAAGATGAGCAGGCTAAAGCAGGTATGCTAAAAATAATCGAATATTTCATATCGATCCTAGTTAAGAGTGACAACTCTTTCATCATCGTCGTCATCGTCATCATCATCGTCGTCATGATTACGATATCATTATCAGGTGTCTACGACATCATTATCATCATCGTCACAGTTTTTCTTCATCGTCGTCATCATCTTCATAAATATTTTACTATATTCGTCGCCAATATAGTCTGAATAAAGTGATCTAATATTTATATTAAACATTTTGAATGATATAAAATACATGTATATACTCTATATACACATAAATTGTATAAATACATGAATAGATATATGTATACATTAATATAAATATATATATTTATTATCACTTATATAATTTTTAATGAACGTTAACTCTTAGCACAGCTTAATTCATCAACATTAAGCTGAAATGTTCCTTCTTGTGTAAATCCTACAAATCACCCATCGTGTATTTGTGTTTTCGTTTTTGAATGTTTTTTGGCGAGTTTTGTGATTTATCATCAGCTCTTCTGTTAAGATTTCTATAGTAGCACAAACAAAAGGAGAGAGACAAAGAAAGAGAGAGTGAGAGAGAGAGGGAGAGAAAAAGTGAAAGAGAGAGAGAAAGTGAGAATGAGAGAGAGAGAGAGAGAGAGAGAGTGAAAGAATGACAAAAAATTGTCACATCAGTAAACGATATCTTGTGAAAAAAAGCGTATACCCGCGCAAAGATTTATATGAAAGTAATAACCAAATAATAATAATAACAATATTATATATAAATTAATATTATATTATATATTATATATAAATTATATATATATAAATTATATTATAAATATAATATATTTTTTTAAATTATATATTATATATAGCCCAATAACAAAAAAGTAAATGCTTTCACTGACGCATGAAATTTAGAAATATAAACAAAAATATAAATAATAAACAATTATATATATATATATATATATATATATATATATATATATATTCAAATTTTTATTTGTATATCAAATCACTTATTTATATTTCTGCTTTGGAAGGAACTTTTTGTTAAAATAAATTGAAAAATACACGATTTTTTAAAAGTTTAAATTCTGAAAAATAATATTATTAATAACATCAATAATAATAATATTAATAATAATAATAATGGTAATGAAATCGGATCAATGAAATTTTTTGTCGCTACGATTTTGTTGTTGCGGTTGTTGTTGTTGTGGAGGCCATCTCGCTTGCATTTTTGCAGTTGTTACTCTTATGAGAGTTGGTTGTTTAACACTGGTGACGATGCGGGCGATGAAGATGTAGAAGGAAAGAACGAAAACTACATCAACAACAACAACAACATCAACATCAAAAACAACAACCGCAACATCAACAACAACATCAACAGTCAAATCATTAGTGAGTTTAACAACGTAAGCAACATTTTCAACGAGAGCGCTAATGAGATCGAACAAAATGACAACAACAACAACAACAACAGTGAAATCACCGATGACGTCATCAACAACGTTAACAACAAAAGCAAAAAGAGGGTTAAAAGGATAATAGCAAGAACGGAAAGAACAACGAAAAAAAACTTTCAAAGAAATTTTAATGAGGGTAAATTTTCGACACTGTCATAATCGCCGTCATCATCATCGTCGTCGTCACCCATCCTCATCATCCTCATCGTCATCATCATCTTCTTCTTAACTCTAACCAAAATACTTGTTATTGGGGAAGGGGATGGTATGCCCTAACGTATCCTACCCATGGCTGCTTTTCTAGTCGTAACAATAAGAGTATCGTTACGAGTGTTCTTACAAAAATTGTTGTCCCAAATCGCGATTACTATCATAATTAGTAATTAATTATTGTATTTTATTGCAAAATTATTCATAATAATTTATTGCAATTATTTGAATTTTGGGTATAATTATAGTTAATTTATTCAAAAATTTTTTGGCCTAACTTTCAGTCGAGTTTTACATGAACGAGTTTAACATCACGAACGAAAAAGGTTTTGACGGTGATGATGACGATGATGATGACGATGATGATGACGATGATGATGATGATGACGACGATGGTGAAGGGAGAAAAGAGTGATTGTGCAGTTGTATACGTGGAAGGTGTATGTTTGACATGCAATGTGTGGGCTGGGCTGTGTTGCTGTCCATACCTTAAAGACTAAAGAATTAATAATAATAATGATTATATATTATTTATATTTAATATAAATAATTAATATATAATAATAATAACTATTATTATTATCACTATTCATAATATTCATTAAAAAGCTGGATTCATCGAGGAGAAGTTGCACGAAATAAAAGTGACCGGTTAGAAAATTGTTAAAAACATTATTATTATTAATATTATTATTTTTTATATTATTATTATTTTTATTATTATTATAATTTACATCTTATTTTTTTACACTCTGATATATAATTGATAATTTTCGATTGACTTCATTTTGGATTTTATCTTTTCGGTCGATAACAGAATGCTCCCATTATTATTATCAATGTTATTGTTGTTTTTGTGGTTTATTATTATTATCATTATTTTTCTTTACATAATTATTACCAATGAGACAATTTTTTAGCCGGCAAATTCAGGGAGCTGTACACTTGGACAAAGATGACAGGTTTATATATCAATCTTATTATTATTATTATTAATATAATTATAGTAGAAACAATAACAACAATATTATTAATAATAATAATTTTGATGACGTTGATGATTTTTCTATAATAATAATAATAATATAAATAATAATAATAATAATAATATAAATAATAATAATTATAACAGAAATAAAAATTATTTTTAATGCCAGGACCAGAGTTCTATCGATTCTTCCTACTTCAACTTAAACGAAGTTTATCATAATAATAATAATAATAATAATAATTATTATTATTATTATTATTATAATAATGATAATGATAATAATGAATTGCTTTAATTATTTAAAATAGTTCATTTATGACCATCACCCATCATCATCATCGTCTTCCTCATCTTCATCAACAACGATTGTTATCAGATAGCTAGAGCTATCTTATCTTAGCTATCAACAAAGCACGCGCATCACACACACACACACACAAACACACAAACACACACACACAAACACACACACACATTGTATGTGATTTGAGGGGGTCCGAATACCATAATCATTACACCGTCTTGTAATTGTAATATATATATATATATATTATAATTATCATTATTATTACTGTTATTATATTATTATTATTATTTTTTACTTTAAAAATCGTATAACTGTTTTTGTAATCCAGACAGGTTTGACGGTTTGACAGGTAGTTATGAACGGAAAGAAATATGGTTATAATGATAATAATTTTATTTTTAATAATAATAATGAATATAATAATAATAATAATAATAATAATAATGAGAATAATATTTGTGATTATTTTTTTCAAGCGGTTAAATCCTCTAAAATTGGTATTTGTTTGTTTCAAGTGTTGAATGAATGAGTGTATGAATGAATGGGTGTATGAATGATTGAATGAAAGTATGAATGAAAAAATGAATGAACGAATGAGTGTATGAATGAATAAATGAACGAACGAACGAACGAACGACAAAACAAATGGATGAATGAAATAAAAGAACGAACACACGAAAGAATGAAACAGCTGAATGAAAGATTGAACTTTCGAACGCTTAAAGGATTAAAAATAGATTTTGTTGCGCGTTTTGGGAAGGCTTCCCCATACCACTTCTCGATCCGCCACTTTTGCCTCGTAGTATTCCCAGACTTCTGGATGTTTCATTTTTGTTCACATTGAGTTTTTAAATCTACATCACATAATTAAACTTAACTTTTGCAGCTGTCCAGTCTCGCCTATTGAACAACTCAGAACAAGGATTTTACAGTGAGGAATTTTAAATTTGATATACAGAGATAAGTGAACGTGTGTGTGTGTGTGTGTGTGTGTGTGTGTTTTGTGTGTGTGTGTATGTGTGCATGTGTGTGTGCGTGTGTGTCACTCGTGTTCAATTGATCAATTGATTATCCGCAACTTTTTAATTCAGTTTCTTCCTACCAACACACTATTAAACAATGTAATGATATTATGACTATTAAATTTTGTTGCCTTGTTTCATTTGAAGTTTAAAATTATCAATAGAATTAGATTTATAATTTAATTACTCAAAATTATTTTTACAAAAAAATGATATTAATTTATGAACAATTTTTAACTACCCGTTTACGTCAAGACTTAGAGGATTATTATGATGCTAACGATCCGGACGAATCCTTGACTACATTTTGTGAAATGGGATCGTGTTGTAGGGATTTTTTGTTTTTATTCATTCTTTATTCTTTTTTTCATTTTTTTCATTCATTTGTTCGTCCATTCATTTTTTCGATTGCTAGTTTTGTTTCAATGTAATCAAGTATTCATATGTTTGTCCATCTGTATATAAGCTAATCAATTGAGTTCTTCGTCAATATTTTGTATCTATCTATCAACTCTTTTATTTCAATCTATCTTTTAATTCATCAATCAACTGACCTATCCATCCATCCATTCATTTGTTCGTTCGTTCATTCATTCGTTCATTCATTCATTCAGTCATACATAGAGTCAGTCGTATTTTGATCTAGCCATCCGCTCACTCATCTATCTATTGTTCAACTGATGCATCCATACACTAGTCCATTCGTCCATCCATCCATTTATCCATCCAACCATTCCTTCATCCAACCATTCATCCATCCATCAATCAACCGATGAAGGGATAAACGTGTATGCTGTTTCAGACGCCAAAGTGTACGTTGACCAAACCAGAATGAGGAGGACAGTGTACGGCGACTACAACTTCACCGACAGTCCAGACATGAAGGTCCTTCCACACACACTCACACACACGCACACACACGCACGCACACGCACACACACTCTCACACTCACACACACGTATATATATATTTATGTATGTATGTATAAATATATGTGTATATACGTGAATGTCTATATGTATAAATATGTATGTATATAGATATATACATACACACACATTTACACACACACATTCCAAATACAGACACACACACAGACAAAACTCACACATACACAATCACACGCACACACAAAACTCACAAATACACAATCACACACACACAAATCTCACACATACACAATCACACGCACACACAAATCTCACACATACCCAATCAATTCAAAGTATACAAACGCATGCACAGATAATAGCCATAGAAGTTGAAAACCTCCTGCCGGTCAATAGTAGCAATGATGGACAACCGAAAATAGCCGTCTGGTCACCCCACCTGTGGTACAGATCGGATGAACGATGGAAGGTTGCAAAGTGTAGCAGCATTGGGATGGAGTTTAGAAGATTGTTAGTTGGAGGAGATGATGAGTCCTGAAGTGGTGGTCTGCTAGAGTGGTGATTGGGAAATCTGGTAATAAAATTGTGGGGTAATTTGATATCGCAAGCTTGAAAGGCAACTGCAATTTAAACACATTACAATACCCAACCAATCAACTACAAAACATGAGCCAATCAATCACAAAACATCAACCAACCAGCCACAAAGCACAAACCAACCAACAACAAAACACAAACCAACCAACTACAAAACACAAGCCAACCAACCAACCATCCAATCAGCCTACCAACCATCCAATCAACCAACCATTCAACCACAATACAACCACAGACCTGTCAGCATGCCTCCAGTCAGAAATCGAAACCTCACCAACTCAACAGCCAACAAAACCATCGCAGAACAAATAAATTCCGACTTCTATGCCACCGAATCAACACTCCGAGAACTACTCAAATTCCTTCTCCGAGTTGATCATCACAAATCCATTAAGCTTCCAACAACGTTCAACCGGCAAATTCTTCTCCACTATCTTACGAGTCTTATCAGACCGAGAGTGAACTTTTTAAACATCACCGTTGTACGTACAAAACAAGTTAGTAAGATGAACATTAACGAGTTAGCACTGGCTAGTATTCAAACTAGGGCCGATCTTTTGGGGACCAAAAAAGGTTCGCCAGAAGAGAAAACTTTACTGCAAACACGTGCAAACCTTTACAACAAGTTGGATAGATTGCTGCAGAAACCTGTGCGATCGAACCGGCCAACTGAGGTTAACTGGATCCCTGAAACCTGGGTGGACGTGGGGTTTGGAGGAGTAGCTCAGGATATGCCCGACTTTGATTATGACGTTACTGTCGCCGAGAACAATAGAGAGTGGGAGAGTGGAGCGCCTGGGTGGACGGCCGAGTCGTTTGATGACGGCAGGTTTGTGGTGGCGATGAAGAGGAAGAGAGATATGGCGATGAAGTGAAAGATGATGGTGAATTGAGAGATGATAACGCCGAATTGAAAGATGGTGGTGAATTAAATGATGATGGTGAATTAAGAGATGGTGAGATAATTTCATGACTATTGTTGGCATTTCAAATTCACTAAAATCTTATTTAAAGTCATTATTGTAGTCAGAAAATTGTTAATTTTTCTACCAAATCACCACATTGACACCAATTACATCTATACCGCCATCCCCTCTCACTTTTCACCATCATCTTTCACTTCCTCATTATCTCTTAACATCTCATTACATCTACCGTCACGACCTCACCAGCTGGTTGAAACCATCAGTACCGTACGAGAATCTAAAACTGGATTCCTTCATGTTAAAGAAGCGAACGGCTCGCCAGCACTTGGCGTCAAAATTCATCGAATATCCGGAGCCTATGAATGGTAACGAATCTGCCTGCTTTCGGCTCAATGGTCAGTTAATTAGTTTAGTGAAATGAGAATGGGATTAAGGTGATTAAGATGATTAAGGTTATTATGGTCTTGATTAAGATGACAATTAGGGTAATGATAAGTGTGGTGGTCATTTTGATGATGATTTATAACGGAACATGATGATCATTTATTAATTAAAACAACAAAATCATCTTAAATCAAAACGATGATGAAAAATTAAACAAAAATTAAGATGGCAATGGTGGTAAAAATGATTGGGATGATGATGAAAATGACAACTATAATTCTGATAGACATGAAAAGTGTGATGATTTTGAATCAAGTTTATAAAGTGGCACAATGGCTATTATCCATAAATCAATTCAATCGTATCAAACAAAATAAAAATAAAAATAATAACAAAAAAAATAATATAATAATAATATTATTAATAATAAAAATAATAATAATTTAATAATAATAATAAATAATAATAATAATAATAATATAATAATTATTTAATAATTATAAGTCGGCAGAGCCAGGCGATACTTTCAGCAAACACAGGCCTCAACAGAAAGGCCAACTACCCCAAAAGTCACTTATAGAACGACAGAGGAAGTTTTGATTTACTATAAAGGTAATCTTTCAATGTTCATCGAAGACGGCAACTACACCGACAGCCTGAACAACAGCAGTAGTAGAAGAAAAAAAATAAATAAAAATAATAAAATTAATAATACAAATAATAATAATAATAATGGAAGTATCTACGGTGCTAATAATAGTGGTGGTAGTGGTGATGGTAATTTTAGTAATAGTGGTGGCATCAATTTTGGCGGCCGTGGTAGTGGTGGTGGTGGTGATGAATATGAAGAGAATTTAACTTTCGATCGTAAGTGAATTATTATTATTATTATTATTATTGCTATGGTGGTTGTTAATATTGAATTATGGTAGTAATAAAATATTATCAATAAAGTTGGTACTTTTAGTAAGAATAATGTTGAATATTGGTATTGGAAAAGTAACTTTTATTCATTCACTCATTCATTCATACTTTCGTTCTTTCGTTCGTTTGTTCGTACGTTCATTCATTCATTCATTCATTCATTCATTCATTCGATCTACTAGCCAGTTTAACTAGCGAAGGGGATGAGTGGAGGTTCTACACGAGGGTGCTAGCCATTGCCGCCGCCATATCAATCATCGTTTGCATACTCTTAGCTATAGCTAAAAGTAAGTCTTAAGCATACTCCTAGCTATAGCTAAAAGTAAGTCTTAAGCATACTCTTAGCTATAGCTAAAAGTAAGTCTTAAATTCAGATGAAACGAAATTTTATTTAGCTACGATAACTTCATGTTAAAAGACTGATCAAATTTTTTTTTTTTTAATGTATTTAGTTTAGCCGGCCAAACACATGCACATACATACATACATATACATTCAAACAAACATACATACATTCAAACAAACATACATACACACGTGCAAC